GACAAAAGGAAGCTGCAAGGAAACAAATTTACTAGTTACTTAAGCAGGCTTTTCAAGGTTGCCTGAAAAACAGGCATAAGCCAGCAATCTTAAAAAAATCACAGTGGCTCTTCCCTGGTGGCCCAGTGGTTAACATTCCATGATTCCAATGCAGAGGGCTCGGGTTCAATCCCTATTCAGGGAAATAAGAACCCACATGCCACAAGGAAGGACCAAAAAAAAAAAAAATCATAAGAAAAAGCACTAATTATAAAGAAGTGACCAATAAACTGACTGCATTAATATTGGGAAACTCTCAGGGATAAGATGATGCTGTGAAAATGCTGTACTCAATATGCCAGCAAATTTGGAAAACTCAGCAGTGGCCACAGGACTGGAAAAGGTCAGTTTTCGCTCCAAACCCAATGAAAGGAAATGCCAAAGAATGCTCAAACTACCACAAAATTACACTCATTTCACATTAGCAAAGTAATGCTCAAAATTCTCCAAGCCAGACTTCAACAGTATGTGAACTGAGAACTTCCAGATGGTCAAGCTGGATGTAGAAAAGGCAGAGGAACCAGAAATCAAATTGCCAACATCCATTGGATCATAGAAAAAGCAAGAGAATTCTAGAAAAACTACTTCTGCTTCATTGACTACACTAAAGCCTTTGACTGTGTGGATCACAACAAACTGTGGAAAATTCTTAAAGAGATGGGAATACCAGACCACCTTATCTGTCTCCTGAGAAATCTGTATGCATGTCAAGAAGCAACAGTTAGAACATTACCTGGAACAACGGACTGGTTCCAACTTGGGAAAGGAACACGTCAAGGCTGTATATTGTCACCCTGCTTATTTAACTTATATGCAGAGTACATCATGCAAAATGCTGAACTGGATGAAGCATGAATTGGAATCAAGATTGTTGGGAGAAATATCAATAACCTCTGATATGAAGATGACACCACCCTTATGGCAGAAAGTGAAGGAACTAAAGAGCCTCTTGATGAAGATCAAAAAGGAGAATGAGAGCTGACTTAAAATTCAACATTCAAAAAACTAAGATCATGGCATCTGATTCCATCACTTCATGGCAAACAGATGGGGAAATGATGAAAACAGTGATAGACTTTATTTTGTGGGGCTCCAAAATCACTGCAGATGGTGACTGCAGCCATGAAATTAAAAGATACTTGCTCCTTCGAAGAGCTGTGACCAACCTAGACAGCATTAATAAAAGCAGAGACATCACTTTGCCAACAAAGGTCCATCTAGTCAAAGCTATGGTTTTTCCAGTGGTCATGTATGGATGTGAGAGCTGGACTATAAAGAAAGCTGAGCCAAAGAATTGATGCTTTTGAACTGTGGTGTTGGAGAAGACTCTTGAGGGTTCCTTGCACAGCAAGGAGATCACACCAATCAATCCTGAAGGAAATCAGTCCTGAATATTCATTGAAGGACTGATCCTGCAGCTGAAGTTCCAATACTTTGGCCACCTGATGGGAAGAACTGCTTATTGGAGAAGACCCTCATGCTGGGAAATATTGAAGGCAGGAGGAGAAGGTGACTACAGAGGATGAGATGGTTGGATAGCATCACCAATTTGATGGACATGAATTTGAGCAATCTCCAGGAACTGGTGATGGACTTCCTGGCTTGTTGCAGTCCATGGAGTAGCAAAGAGTTGGACATGACCGAGCAACTGAACTGAACTGAGGGATGTGTGTGTTAGTTGCTCAGTTGTGTCTGACTCTTTGTGACCCCATACTGTAGCCCATCAGGCTCCTCTGTCCATGGAACTCTCCAGGCAAAGATACTGGCTGCTGCTGCTGCTAAGTCGCTTCAGTCAGGTCCGTTGTGTCCATGGAACTCTCCAGGCAAAGATACTGGCTACTGCTGCTGCTAAGTTGCTTCAGTCTGGTCCGTTGTGTCCATGGAACTCTCCAGGCAAAGATACTGGCTGCTGCTGCTGCTAAGTCACTTCAGTCGGGTCCGTTGTGTCCATGGAACTCTCCAGGCAAAGATACTGGCTGCTGCTGCTGCTAAGTCGCTTCAGTCGGGTCCGACTCTGTGTGACCCCACAGACGGCAGCCCACCAGGCTCCTCTGTCCCTGGGATTCTCCAGGCAAGAACACTGGAGTGGGTTGACATTTCCTTCTCCAATGAATGCATGCATGCTAAGTTGCTGCAGTTGTGTCTGACTCTGTGCGGCCCTATGGACAGCAGCCCTCCAGGCTTCTCTGTCCACAGGATTCTCCAGGCAAGAACACTGGAGTGGGTTGCCATTTCCTTCTCCAGGGGATCTTCCTGACCCAGGGGTTGAACCCAAGCCTCTTGCATCTCCTGCATTATTGGCAGGTGGATTCTTTACCATCGCACCATCTGGGAAGTCCTTCTCTAAGTGTAAAAGTAGTTGAACATAAAAGTTTTTAAAATTAAGAAAAACCAAAACAAGGCCCTATACACTCATCAAAATGGTCCAAACAAAAGAGACAATATGAAATATTGGCAAGAGAGCAGGAATGAAATTTGGTGCAACTATTCTGGAAAACTGCGAGGTAGTTGTGAAATAAATATTACCATACCTATTCCTTAATACATATCCAACAAAAATATGTAGTTGTAAATCAAAAGACATGTATAAGAATGTTCACTGCAGAACTACTTGTAAAATATCCCAGCTATAAACAGATAAAATGTCCAAAACAGTTGAATGATACAGTGTACAAATTCATTCTATGGAAAACTGTACAACAATGAAAATAAACTCTGGCTATATACAACAGCAAAAAATGTATCTCAAAAATATAATGTTGAGCAGAAGCCAGGCACAAATGACAACATGTGATATCAGGCACAAGAGTACACATAACTTAAGTCAATGAATTGTACACTTTGAATGAGTGAACTTTTTGGTTTGTGAATTTTATCCCAACAAAGTTGTTTTTAAAATACATGTTTCTAGGGGATTCCTTGGCCATCCAGTGGTTAGGACTCTGTGCTTCACAGCCAGGGCCTGGTTTCTTGTTCTTTTTTCAGGGCCTGGTTTTGATCCCTGGCCAAGGAACTAACATCCTGCAAGCTGCACAGTGCAGTCAAAAAAAAAAAAAAAAAAAAAGACACAAATGAACTTACTTAGAAAACATATACAGACTCAGACATAGAAAACAAACTCATGGCTACCAAATGGGAAAAGGGGGTGAGGAAGGAATAAATTAGTATACTGGGGTTAGCAGATACAGACTACTATTATATATATAAACAAGGTCCAACTGTATAGCACAGGGAGCTATATTCAATATCCTGTAATAAACCATACTGGAAGGGAATATGAAAAAGAATACATATATATATGTACGGGCTTTCCTGGTGGCTCAGTAGTAAAGAATCCATCTGCCAATGCAGGAAACTCGGGTTCGATCCCTCAGTTGGGAAGATCTCCTGGAGAAGGAAATGGCAACCCATTCCAGTATTCTTGCCTGGAGAATCCTGTGGACAGAGGAGCCTGGTGGGCTGCTGTCCATAGGATCACACAGAGTCGGACGCAACTGAAGTGACTTGGCATGCATGCATGCATTGGAGAAGGAAATGCCAACCCACTCCAGTATTCTTGCTTGGGAAAGCCCATGGACAGAGGAGCCTGGTGGGCTACAGTCAGACACGCAATGAGTCAGATGCGACTGAGCGACTGAACAACAACACACATATGTATTACTGAGTCACTTTGCTGAACACCCGAAACAACACTGTAAATTAACTGTACTTCAATTTTAAAAAAGAATTAAAAATACATGATTCTATAGAGTACCTACATTCTGATGGCAGGAATCAGTGATTAGTAGTGCCCATAGTATCTTGACCAGAGCTTGCAGTAGTTAATATTGAGGTATTCTGTTGTTCAGTTACTAAGTTGTGTCTGACTCTGTGACGCCATGGACTGCTTCACACCAGGATGCCAGGCCTCCCTGTCCCAGAGGTGTTTCACCTTGTAAAGATTCATGCATTTGTTCATTCTCGTATATGGTAAATGTATAAACAAAATGTGTTGTAAAAGTTTCATAATTCCAAGGAGAATTGAACCATCTGCAATCTTCATGGGAAGACTCACTACAGACCTTGTGCAGGATGTGATTGGAGACAAGAAACACAGAGGTACACAGGTGATTTGTAAGCACAACTTAAGAGCTTTATCTAATAGGCAAACATCTATTAAGGGGCCTCCTCAGTGGTTCAGATGGTAAAGAATCTGACTGTAATCCTGGAGACCTAGGTTTGATCCCTAGGTTGGGAAGATCCCCTAGAGAAGAGAATGGCTACTACTCTAGTATTCTTGCCTGGAGAATCTCATGGATGGAGGAGCCTGGTGGACTACAGTCCATGGGTTTGCAAAGAGTTGGACATGACTGAGTGACTAAGCATGCATGCAAATATCTATCAAACCTATATCCCCATATTAAATAGTTTTTCAATTTTGTTACCATATGTAAAATTTATTTTTAAAAATTGACCATCTGTGGACTATATTGGCTAGTGATTACAGCCAACTGGGAGAAGGAAAAAAGAAAACTCCCTACCACCACCACCATAGCGTCCATAGGCTTGCCAAGAGTTGGACATGACTGAAGTAACCTAGCACACATCACCACCACCACTACCATCACCACCACACACAAACACACGGAAAACAAAAGAACAAATACACAGAAAATATGGTGGCTTAAAACATTAGGTTTTTATTTTTCTCAAATAACAAGCCTTTTTTTTTTCCCAAGTAACAAGTCTTGAAGATATTAAAACACTTTCTTTCAGCATGACTACATATCTTCTAAGGGATAATGAATGAATACAAAATCTCTCACAATCATTGCATAACTTAGGTTTCTCCCATACATGCATTATTCAGAGGCTTTCTCACATTATTCAAAACCAGTTCTTTCCACTTAGCATTTTGTTGTATGCCTTAAAGACTGAGAGTTCCCTGAAAGCTACTTTACATGGATGTCATCAAAAGGGACTTATTGAGCGTGAGTTCTCTCGTGACGCTGAAAGGGTAAGGGTTTACTGAAACTGTGCCCACAGATCTTGCAATTATAGGGTTTTTCTCCAGTATGTATTCTTTTGTGCACAGTGAGATTACACTTTACACTGAAGGATTTTCCACATTGATTACACTCATAGGGTTTCTCCCCTGTGTGAGTTCTCATGTGTACTGTAAGGGAAACATGCCTACTAAAAGCTTTTCCACATTCACTGCACTTAAAAGGCTTCTCGGCCCTGGTATGGATTTTCATATGCCTGCCATGAGATAAGAGACCACGGAAGGTTTTCCCACATTCCTTACATTCATACTTCATTTTCATGTGAATTTTCTTATGTAACATGAGGAAAGATTTCACTCTGAAGGCTCTTCCACACTGATTACAGGTAAAGGGTTTTTCTCCAGTGTGAATTCTCGCATGTTCTTTAAGGCATGAGCGATCCCTGAAGGCTTTCCCACAGTCATTGCACTTACAGGGTTTCACTCCAGTATGAATTTTCTTATGTGTGGTAAGGTTAGAGCTCAGCCTAAAAGCTTTCCCACATTGATTACACTTGTAAGGTTTCTCTCCAGTATGTATCCTCATATGTGTCTTAAGAGATGCCTCACTCTTTAGGGCTTTACCACAGAGGCTACATTCAGTGACTATCTCTCCAGTGTGGATTTTCTTATGTTGTTTAAAGTATAGGAGAACACTAAAGGTTCTTCCACAATCATTGCACTTATAGGGTTTCTCTCCAGTATGTGTTATCTGGTGCATGATAAGCCTAGCATTTCTACTGAAGGTTTTGTTGCATTGATTACATTTGTAGGGTTTTTCTCCTGAATGAGTCCTTGCATGCTGTCTGAGAAGTGAGCTATCTCGGAAGGTTTTTCCACAGTCATGGCATGCATAGGGCTTCTCTCCAGTATGAATTCTCTTGTGACGTGTAAGATAAGAGCTTGAGGTGAAGCACTTCCCACACTGATCACACTTGAATGGTTTTTCTCCAGTGTGGGTTCTCATGTGCAACTTAATGGACCCATGGCTCTGTAATACTTTACCACACTGACTACACTCAAAAGGTGTCTCTCTCATGTGAGTTTTCTCATGCTTCTTAAGATGTGAGATTGAATTTAAGACTTTCCCACAGTCACTGCATTCATAGGATCCCTCTCCTGTATGTTGTCTCTTGTGGCTGGCTACGTTAGAGCTCCTGATGAAGGAATTTTCATCTGTTTCACAGTTGTATGATTTTTTCTGAGGAAGAATTCTCTCATGTGACTTGAGATGTGAAGATTCACCAAGGGCTTCTGCAGAGTCAGGGTATCGATGGAGTTTCTTGCCTGGGTAAATTCTCTTATTCTGAATAATGCTAGATTTCACACTCAAGGTTTCGACGGTTTCTCTGCATTGAATGGTATTGCCTCCAAGAGTTTGTTCCTAATGATTAAAATATGAATTATGATCATGAGATTTATCATGTTCATGACTGAGACTCTCCCCCAGCATAAATTCTGACATGTCTAACAAGCACTTTATTAGCATAAGAGTTTCATATTTTCTCAGTGAATATAAGTTTCTGACTGAATTTATTAGCTTGAATAAGCTGATTGCTATACCAGACGGATCCCACTAAAGTTTCTTCAACAGATTTAAGATAAAACTGCCTTAGGGTGAATGATATCTTAAACATTTAATATCTAATTCCATTATGCAAATATGTACATTAGGGATTGTTATGAACTTCCTTCAAATGAAAGCTTAACAGTAGCTTCTGCTTCCTGTTGGTGAAATAAGCATGCTATCACTTGGATTACCCTGTAGTCTAGCAGTCCCCAACCTTTTTTGCACCAGAGACTAGTTTTTGTGGAATACAACTTTTCCATGGATGGGGGTGGGGATGGTTTTGGGAATGATTCAAGTGCATTACAGTTATTATGCTGCCACTGATCTGACAGGGGGCAGAGATCAGGTGGCAATGTGAGCAACGGGGTCACCCATCACTTACCTCCTGCTGTGCAGACTGGTAGCAGTCCGTGGCTCAGGGATTGGGGAACCCTGCTCTAGTTCTTCTCTATCTTATAGGATTCTGAACTTCTCAGGTGAGGACAAGAAATTATCCCATGTGACTCTTACCTTCTTGTCATTGAGTGTATATTTCTCCAAAATACCTTGCTCTTGCTGTGGTCCTTCGGTTTTAAGGAGAATCATCTTATCTGAACAAAGTGGGGAAAAGTTTTGGAAAAGACATGGAGACCACATATTGACAAAAACAGGTAATGCCTAACCCCAATCTGAAACAAATGGGAAGCGTAACCTCATGATCCTATATAAAATGGTGGAATGTATAGCACAGAGAACTCTATTCAGTACTCTCTGATGACCTGTATGGGAATAGAATCTAAGAGTGGATATATCTATAGTTGACTGACTTTGCTATATGGCAGAAACTAACATAGCACTGTAAATTAACTATCATGCCAATAAAAATTAATTAACTAAATAACATTGTGGGATGATGACCAAAATAGTTAAGCCCAATGTGGATTTCTCTTCAAATATTGATCCTAGACTCAGGAAGACAATATGAAGAAGAATCCATTTATGGTGGAACTGATGACATTTACATGGTTTAGGGTTTCATGTAATTTACTAAGGAATCATTCTGTCTTGATTGAAAGTCATGTTGTTGACAAGCCATTACTACATATGCAAAATGGGAAGAATCAGACAATGATTCGAAATGTAAATATTAAAAATCAAGACAGTTCTTTCAGAGCACAGGAAAGTATGAAATGAAAGGCAAAAAGTGAAAGATTAGGGAAAGCTGAAACTACATAAGGAAGTTCACACCAAAGGGTCTCAGCTTTCTCCTTAAATAAAAGGGGTTATTTTTTAAAGTCTCCTGACATTTCATAATGCACCTTTTCCTTCACCCCAAACAGATCTCAGCTTTCTCCTTAAATAAAAGGGGTTATTTTTAAAAGTCTCCTGACATTTCATAATGCACCTTTTCCTTTACCCCAAACAGATCTTGTAGGCAAGACATTCATATATGCCTGGTGCTCACATGAACAGGTATCTTTGTGAATTCTTCGCTCTACTATCTTCATTTCATCTTCCTGCTCCAGATGGGTGATGAGAGGAGGTTTGCTGAGTTGATATCCTATAATTGGGGATGATACATATGAGAGGGCCATGCAGTGTATGACAAAAACTATCGTCAAACTGTGGCAAGAACTTGGTCTTTGAGGTTCTGAAGATTGACAATTGTGACATTACAGAGAGCAAAATGATGATAAACTTCTAACAGAGAAAGCAGAAGTAAAGCATTTGGGAAATCAACTTTCCACAAATGGAAAACTGTCTACAGAAATCATTGAACCTTGGTAAAAGAACAGGGTATGTGACATTTTAAGGCTATTTTTAGAAGCCCCACAGGGGACTTCCCTTGGGGGTCCAGTGGTTAAGAATTCACCTTGCAATACAGGAGATGCAGCTTGATCCCTAGTCAGGGAACTAAGATTCCACACGCTGCCGAGCACCTAAGCCTGTACACTACAACTACAGAGTCTGTGAGACGCAACAAAAGATCCCTCGTGCTGCAACTAAGGGCCAATGCAGCCAAATACATAAAAACTTAGAAAAGAATTATTTCATCCCTTCGCTCTCCCTAGCTCAGTGGCATAGTGGCCAATGCCAGAAGTTCTGTAGTCAACAGAGGTGGTCTAATCTCTTTGGGAGCTCTGTTAAAAGAACCATGTCAATGTATGACAAAAACCACTACAATATTGTAAAGTAATTAGCCTCCAACTAATAAAAATAAATGGGAAGGAAAAAAAAAGAAGAAAGAAAGGGAGGAAGGAAAGTAGAAATTGAACATAGACAATTACTAATACAAGAGGGAAAAAACTTCTAAAAAAAAAAAAAGAACCATAGAACACAATCAATATTTTTGTTTTCTAAACTTGCAGCTCCTTAGAAAATCTCCATACTCAGGGTGGTGTGGCTATTTGATTTCCTCAGAGCCTAGATTAACAGACTGAAAAAAAAAAAGTCCTTAACCCCAAGGCATTATTCAAACACTTGCAGCCTGCTAGTAACAGCCCCAGATGCTTAAGGCTCTGATTTCACTTGGGGAGAGCAGAAGATGGGCTGGGAGTTTTAAAGAAGAGTAAGAACTAGACAACCACAGGGAACTTTGAAAAGCTCCCAACAAGTTCCTGAGGATCTAAAAGGCTGTGTGCATGAGCAAGGCTATGCACATGCTCAGGAAATATCTAGGAAAGATTAAGTCCCAAGTCCTTCGGTAGACTTTAAGACCGTGTCCAAGTCTAAGCAGAAAGCGAAAGCTAAGCCTGTCTCATAACTTGCCTGAAGCTTAAAGCTGTGACTTCTCCCATAGGTCCCCTTGGCAAGAGGTGGAAGAGATAAAGGCAAGGGGCTTCCCTGGTGGTCCAGCGGTTAAGAATCCACCTTGCAATGCAGACGACACTGGTTCAATCCCTGGTCTGGAAAGATACCACATGCCGCAGGATAACTAAGCCTGAGTGCTCTGAGCCAGCAAGCCACAAGCAACTACTGAGTCCACGTGCTCCCACTACCAAAACCGGAGCGCTCACGAGCCTGTGCTCTACAACAAGAGACACCACAACACTAAGAAATCCACATACAACGAAAATTGGCCCTGTTCACAACTAGAGAAAGCCCACATACAGCAACAAAGACCCACCATAGCCAATAAATAAATACATCTTTTAAAAACAAAACAAATGAAAAAAAAAGATACAGGCAAGGCACTTAAGAAAATCTTTTTACCAATCATTGGTGGACTACTAAATTATAATGACCAGCTAGTGACTTCCCCAAAGCCAGGCTTTTAAAAATTAAGTACTTAAAAAAAAAATAAGAAAACTCCATGGCTGCACACTGCAGAGAATACAGAATCTGTGGAATTCATCTAGTAAAGTCACTAAACAAATAAGCACCAACAAGAAAACAATAAAAGCCAGCAGTGAAACCAAATTTCCCTAAAACTGAGTTCCCTTACCAAGTTTATGATTAATCATTCTATCCAAAACTTTATTCCTATTCTTTTATCCCCTCTGACCTCAATCCTATGCTAACTTAACAGTAAGCAATCAGTCAAATGACTAAAATTGCTGGTTTTGGTAGCATCAATCATGTACTAAAACTGCTATTTAGTCAGTTAGATGAGCTAACTGACCCTGAAGTCATGGACTTCAGAATCTTAAACCAGAGACATCCTAACTCCCAAAACTATGATTAAGAAAAGTCGGAGAAATGTTACAAGATAATGAGCAATTAATCCCAGTCTCTTTTTAATTCCTCTTAAAAAAAAAAAAAACCAAACAAACGCTAATTCAAAGACCAAGCTGGAGGGGATCTGAGGCTTTTCTCCCACTCTCTTGCTTGGCACCCTGCAACAAATGCTGTATTTTTCTTCACCATAACCTGGTGTCAGGAGATCAGGCAAAGAATTAGGAAATTTGGGATTTATCTGGTGGTCCACTGGTTAAGAATCCACCTTCCAGTGCAGAGCATGTGGGCTCAATATTACTAGTCATTAGGCAAATACAAATCTGAAGCACAATGAAATTCCATTTCACAACTACTAGGATGACTATCATCAAAAAACAGGAAATAAGTGTTGGTAAGAAACTATGGGAAAAAAAAAAAAGAAACTATGGAGAATTTGGAATCAACATATAGTATTGGAGGGAATGTAAAATGACACAGCCAGTTTGGAAAACAGTTTAGCAGTGCCTAAAAATGTGAAGTATGAAGTTACCAAATAACCCAGCAATTTTACTCTTGGGCCTACACCCAAGATAAATGACAATATTTGTCCACACAAAAACTTGTATGTGAATGTTTGCAACAGCATTATAGTTGTTTTGTTGTTAAGTCGTTTCTGACTCTTTGAGACTGTAGCCCATCAGGCTCCTCTGTCCGTGCAATTCTTTAGGCAAGAATACTGCAGTAGGTTACTATTCCCTTCTTCAGGGGATCTTCTGGACTCAGATTTGAACCCACGTCTCTTGTGTCTCCTGCACTGATAGGAGGATTCTTTACCACTGAGCCACCCAGGAATCCCATTATTTGTAGTAACAAATGTCAAAAATCCAAATGTCCATCAACTGATAGATAAACAAAATATGGTAAATCTATGCAAGAGAATATTATTCAGCAATGAATAGGCTACAAGTACTGACATATACTACAACATGGATGAACCCTGAAAACATTATGCTAAGTGAAAAAAAGTAAGTCATAAAAGACAACACATGGTATGATCCCATTAATACGAAATGCTGAATAGGGAAATCTATAGAGAACGAAAGTAGGTGAGTTGTCAGGGTCTGAAGGCAGAAAGGAATGAAACACCCTGTAGGCAGGTTAATGAAAATGTTCTGGAATTAGACAGTGGTGATGGATGTACAACTCTGAAAAAAAAAACCACTTTAAAAAGCTTAGTTTTGTACAATTTAAATGAATGAATTATGGTACATGAATTATACCTCAATACAGTTATTTTTCTTAAAAATAAAAACCTACAGGACTTCCCTGGAGGTCCAGTGGTTGGGAATCCACCTGCCAATGCAGGGAACACAGGCTCGACCCTTGGTCCAGGAAGATCCCATATACCTTGGAGCAGCTAAGCCCAAGTGCCATAACTCCTGAGCCCTTGTACCTAGAACTGTGCTCTGCACCAGGGGAATGAAGAGTAGCCCCTGTTTGCCCCAACTAGAGAAAAGCCCAGCACAGCCATAAACACATGAATGAGTTAATTTTTAAATAGCCTGTATCTGTATCACAAGCCTTAATCACCCAAGAAACCCATGCTCAAACTCAATAAAATAAATAAGGGATTGTGTCAGCCTTACCCACTGAAGCCAAGTTTCTATAGTTCTCCAGCATCACATCTTTGTACAGCCTTCTCTGAGATGAATTCAGCAATGCCCACTCCTTCTGGGTGAAGTTTATGGCCACATCCTCAAAGGTGATTGAGTTCTAAAATAACAACATATCTCGGGTCAACCAGTCACCAATCCCACAGTGTTCTGCGGAAGAGGATCATGGGTAACAGCACTGGAGATAAAAGACCTTTTTACTTCATGGTCTTTACCTCACTTTCATAAGTCTAGATTCTGAGGACTCTTCATTTAATCCAGGATTCAAGGACTTCCTTGGTGGTCTGATGTTTAAGAATCCCCACTCCCAATTCAGGGGGCATGGGTTCAATACCTAGTTGGGGAACTAGGGTCCCACATGTGGCACAGCATGGCCAAAACAAAACAAAACCCCAGGACTCAATTCTCAGAATCTTCCCTTCTCTACTCATGCTCACTCCTTAAGGAATCTCAAGAATTTATGATGAAATGTATCTCTCTACTCCTAGCCTGAGAACTTCCACAATCTTATTCTCTTCTATCTTCAGTGTCAAATGGAGACCTGAACACATTGCAAGAATGAAAGAAATACTTCCTAAATGAAAAAAATTATTTTTCAAGATTATTATTACTTTTGACACTGTTGTTGTTCAGTTGCTAAGCTGTGTCCAACTCTTTGCAACACCACGTGCTGTAGCACCAGCCTTCTCTGTCCTTCACTATCTCCTGGAGTTTTCTCAAGTTCATGTCCATTGAGTCGATGATGCTATCTAACCATCTCATCCTCTGCCGCCCTCTTCTCCTTCTGCCTTCAATCTCTCCCAGCATCAGAGTCTTTTCCAATGAGTCTGTTCTTCATATCAGGTAGCCAAAGTATTGAAGCTTCAGTTTTAGCATCAATTCCTTCAATGAATGGGGCTTCCCTTGTGGCTCAGCTGGTAAAGAACCTCTCTGCAATGCAGGAGACCTGGGTTCAATCCCTGGGTTGGGAAGATCCCCTGCAGAAGGGAAAGGCTACCCACTCCAGCATTCTGGCCTGGAGAATTCCATAGACTGTATAGTCCATGGGGTCTCAAAGAGTCAGACACAACTGAATGACTTTCACTTTCAATGAATATTCAGGATTGATTTCCTTTAGGATTGACTGGTTTGATCTTCTTGCAGTCAAGGGACTCTCAAGAGTCTTTTCCAGCACTACATTTCAAAGCATCATTTTTGAGACTAAGACAGTATTATATTTTTCTTTTTATTTAAAAATTTCCTAACTTTTTCTTTTTTTCTGTTTTTATTTTTTATTTTTATTTTTGTTTACTTTTTACTTCTTTTACTAACTGCACTAAGCAAAAGAGATGCCTGGAAAAAAAAAACTGTTAAGTAGTGGGGTAGAATAATTTTTTTTAGAAGTCCTTGAACCACTATCAGAAGTTCCAAAATGCAGGTTGAGTTGTGAGGCTCCAGAGTACTGAAGGAGATGCATTCACCCCAGGGGACAGGAATGCATTTTAGGAGAAAGAAAATAATTCTTGACTCACCTGTAACCAAGAGCAGAAGTTTCCCATCTCTGTGGTCCTTTCATGGGCACAGGAAGGGTCTAGAACAGGCAGAGTGAGAGGGGAGGATGACATGAGCGTGTAGGCATATATATTATCACAATGTTTTCAAGCGTAGTAGTTGTCTGACATCACTTGAGTCACACACACACATGCACTAGCTCCACCAGAGTCAGAAAATAGGTGCTTTCTACTCACAACAGCCAAGACATGGAAGCAACCTAAATGTCCATCGACAGATGAATGGATAAAGATGCAGTAGTATATACAATGGAATACTACTCAACCATGAAAAAGAATGAAATAATGCCATTTGCAGCAACGTGGATGAGCCTAGAGATCATATTAAGTAAAGTAAGTCAGAAACAAAAAGACAAATATCATATGATGTTATTTACATGTGGAATCTAAAATATGACACAAACTTACTTATGAAACAAACTCATAGATATAGAAAATAAACTTATGGTTACCAAGGGGGAAAGAGGATTGGGGAGGGATAAATTAGGAGTGTGGGATTAACAGATACAAACCACTATATATAAAGTATATAAACAACAAACAATGTCCTACTTTAAAGCACAGCATAATGAAAAAGTGTAAGAAAAAGAAATCATGTATCACTGAATCACTTTGGTATACCCTAATACAACTAATGCAACACTGTAAATCAACTGCACTTCAATTAAAAAAAGATAATAGGGTGCTTTGATACCCATGAGAAATGGGTTTATCTTCTCAATTTTCTTAACAAGGAAATTGAAATTCACAAAGGTTGAGTTGTTATCTTTCCCAGCTTTATAAAACAAATTGATGAAATAAAGAAGTACCACCCTTAAATTTTCTTCCCTCTCCCCACCATGCATATACGTCCTTCCTCTAAAACCCCAAAGGGCACTGAATCTGACGTGAACAATTCTGGGGCTCCAAGGGTTCAAAGAGCTCCATGTGTACCTCCTTTCATTCCAGCCCTTCTTCCAGTCCCCTGTGACTCCTCAAATCCTTTATTTTGAGCCCGCTCTAAGGTGCTGAGCCCACTTAATCCTGGTGAAGTGAATCTACCCTAGGGACTTACCAAATACAGTGGACAGATGTGGGGTTGCCATTTTGTAAGTTTGTGAGTCGTAAGTATGCTCAGATAGCAACCAGGAGAACCTGGAAGCTCCTCTTATGCCTCTATGATCCACTCCAGGCAGGGCTCTGGAATAAAGAAATATTAACAAAAGAATTCACAAGCTTTCTGTTTCTCCTTTGCACTTAGGACAATTTGATCATTGTGCATTCTGTATGTGCTCCTTTCAGACTCAACCATCTTTGATCCTGGGTCTTCGTTTTGCATGCCACGTATCACCTCAAAGCAATATGAGGGCTATTCTTGGTCTCTCCCATCCCTAACGTACATTCCTCACATTGTTGTTTAGTCACTAAGTCGTGTCCCACTCTTTGCGACCCCATGGACGATAGCCCGCCAGGCTTCCCCTGTCCATGGGATTTCTAGGCAAGAATACTGGAGTGGGTTGCCATTTCCTTCTCCAGGGGATCTTCCTGACCCAGGGATAGAACCGGCATCTCCTGCTTGGCAGGATTCTTTACTACTGAGCCACCTGGGAAGCCCATCCTTCACATTATCATCACCAAACCACATTACCCATCACTTATCAAAAATCCCATATAAAAAAAAAATCCATCTCCTCTGAGGCACTTTACTGTCTTCTCACCTGAATTAGCACCAAACATAGACTTGCCTCATTAAAGTCACTGGCACCTAACTCCCGTTCTTCACTTTAACTCTATCCCTGGACTTTTCTGGTGGTCCAGTGGTTAAGATTCTGCACTTTCAATGCAGGGAGTATGAGTTCAATCCCTGGTTGGAGAACTAAGATCCCACAAGCTGTGTGGCATGGCTAAAATTTTTTTTAAAAAAGAGGAATAAAACATTAACTCTTATCCCTGCTCTAATTCAAGATGATTCCATGTTTGTGGGCATAAACTAGCAAACATCCAATCCATGGCTTCCACATCCCAATCATATACCCATTTATCGTTACCTGAGATTCTTGGTTTCTACAAAGGCAAAAAGTCAAACCTCCCACTTTAAACACAGTAGGTATATTTCCACTTGTTCTCTTTTTTGGCTGCACTGCATCTTCTCTCCTGCCTCACAGAAGCTTCCAAGCCATCCATACTTCCACCATATTGCTATTATAATCCTCATTTTCTTGGCACTGTGTACAGAATGTCATGGTCCATCACTTCAATAATATATTTTCCAAAACACCAAATTTCTCTCTGAGGCATCATAATATCATCTGTCTATTCTGCCTGGGTAATTCCTATCCAATAAAATAAAAGAGAATCACTAAAAATTTTGAGTTCCATACTCTAAGTGGGCCCTCAACACTAAAGGAAAAGCCCCACAGGGGATTTAATCTCCTAATTATCTAAAGACCTTTCCAAAATTCCTCCAAGATTTTGAATTTCATATGGTCTCAACTTTGTCTCTTCAATAACAAATGATCTCGGAACTTCCCTGGTGGCACAGTGTATAGAATCTACCTGTCAATGCAGGGGACACTGGCAGGTTCCATCCCTGATCTGAGAAGGTTCCAGGTGAGAACTACTGAGACTGTGCTTTAGAGCCCATGAGCCTCAACTATTGAAGCCTGGTGGTCTAGTGGGTAAGACTCTGCTCTTTCAATGAAGGGGGTGTGAGTTCGATCCTTGGTTGGGGAACTAAGAGCCTGTGCTCTGCAACAAGAGAAACCATCACAAGGACAAGTTCATGCACTGCAACTAAGAATAGCCCCCGCTCGCTGCAACTAAGGAAAGCCTGTGCACAGCAATGAAGAATCAATGCTATCAAAAGTAAATAAACAAATGATATTATATCTTACTTTGCAGAACAACTGTAACAATGATAAGAAGGATTTTTCATCTTGTTACCCCAGTTCAAATGTCATTCCACAGTGTCATGGTTTCTTTCACTTTGCAGGTGAAGATATGTCTGCCTTCTTACCTAAAGTCAACATCTCTTATGCAGGTGATGCAGGTTTGATCCCTGGGTCAGGAAGATCCCCGGGAGGAGGGCATAGCAACCCACTCCAGTATTCTTGCCTGGGAAAACCCATGGACAGAGGAGCCTGGTGGGCTATAGTCCATAGGGTGTCAAAGAGTCAGACATGACTGAAGCAATTGAGAAAGAAAAGTCTTTATTGTTATGAGGGTACTATCCTGTGCATTTTAGGATGCTTAGTAGCATCCCTGGACTCTACCCATTAGATGTCAGTAGCAGGTGAAGTCGCTCAGTCATGTCTGACTCTTTGTGACCCCATGGACTGTAGCCTGCAAGGCTCCTCTTTCCATGGGATTTTCAGGCAGGAATACTGGAGTGGGATGCCATTTCCTTCTCCAGGACATCTTCCCAATCCAGGGATCGAACCCAGGTCTCCAACATTGCAGGCAGATTCTTTACCATCTGAACCACCAGGGAAGCCCAAAAGTGAAAGAGAAAGTCGCTCAATTATGTCTGACTCTTTGCGACCCCATGGACTATATAGTCCATGGAATTTTCCAGGCCAGAACAGTGGAGTGGGTAGCTGTTCCCTTATCCAGGACATCTTCCCAATCCAGGTATCAAATCCATGTATCCAGCATTGCAGGCAGAATTCTTTACCAGCTGAGCTATCAGAAAAGCCCAAGAATACTGTAGTGGGTAGCCTATCCCTTCTTCAGCGGGTCTTCCAGACCCAGGAATTGAACCAGGGTCTCCTGCATTGCAGGCGGATTCTTTACCAGCTGAGGTCAGAAAGATGTCAGTAGTATCCCCTCAAGTTGTGAAAGGGGTATTGGCAAATGTCCTTTAGGGGGCAAACTTTCCTGGTTGAAAACCACTGGTATAATCCCTTCTTACCTTCTCAGAAAGCTTGCTGTATTAGCTGTTCCTTTGTTCTTTTCCATTACCATCAACTTCTACTCCACTGAACTCATACTGTTTAAAAAATTTTTACTTATTTTTGGCTGTGTTGGGTCTTTGCTACTGTACGGGCTATCTCTAGTTTCAGTGAGCAGGTGCTAATCTCTAGTTGAGGTGGGTGGGCTTCTCATTATGGTGACTTCTGCTGCCGACAGCAGGCTCTAGGGCATGCGGGCTCAAGTAGCTGTTGTACTCAGGCTCAGTTGCCCTGAGGCATGTGGAATCTTCCCTGACCAGGGATCAAACCCATGTCCCCTACATTGGCAGGTGGATTCCTAACCACTGGACCACCAGGGAAGTCCTGTACTCAGACTTTTAACACTGAAGTATAATCAAAGATCTCCCATCTTACAACAAGGTCTTATTGTACAGCATAGGGAACCATATTCAATATCCTATGAGAAACCACAATGGAAAATAATTTTTAAAAAAATGAGAAAGTACATGTGCTTGGAGACAGGTATTTTCCTGGCTAATCTTTTTCCTTCATAATTTTTTGCAAAGTTTGAATGTTATCTTAAGTGACTGTTGGTCTTCCCTGGTCCAGTGGTTAAGAGTATGTGATTCCACTGCAGGCGGTGAGGGTTTTATCCCTGGTTGGGGAAGTTCCCCTATGCCACTGGGTGCAGCCCAAAAAAAAAAATAATAGTTAAGTGACTTTTTGTACATTTTCCAAAGGTTACCTTGTATTTTCTAATGCATATTGGCTTGCATCGCTTCTTTCTAAATAAAGCTTCTTAATCAATTCAAAGAAAAAAGATCTCCCATCTTGAAAGAATTCATAGCTTAGAACCCACTTAGCCCTCCAGTTGCTGCTCAGTCTCTTTTCCTTTTCTCCATCAAATTGTTTGAAAGAAGAGTCTACCCCCAGGGACTTCAGTGGCTAAGAACCGAGCTCCCAGTGCAGGCGGTTCGATCCCCGGTTAGGAAATGTGATCCCACATGCTGCAACTAAGACCTGGAGCGACCAAATACATATTTTTTAAAAAGAATAGTCTATCCTCACATTCTCCCCATTTCCTCACTTCCCTTAATTACACTCCAACCTAGTTTCTACCTCACCATCACTTCATTGACACTGCTCTACCAAGACTGCCAAGGATTTAAGAGAATCAATCCAGTGAATGTCATTTTGTTTTTGACTTACAAGCTCAGTAGTTCAGTTGTGTCCAACCCCTTGCAACCTCAAGAACTGTATAGCCCACCAGGTTCCTCTGTCCATGGAAGTTTCCAGACAAGAAAATTAGAGTGGGCTGCCATTTCCTTCTCCATGACTTAGTTGACCCATCAGAAAAATCCTATCACTACTTTCTTCTATAAATCAGCCTCTATCATAGGCTCTGTGACATCTCCTGCTTGGCATCTTATTTCTCTGGATTCACCGGCCTGCTCCTTTCCCATTGTTGACTGTTCTCAAGGCGCAGTCCTGGCCCTCATCTCTCACCTTATTCTGTGCATTCCACATCTATGCATTCCTTTGAAATTAAATTCCATCTCTATGCTCATGACACCCAAATCTCCAGTTAGAGAACTCAAATTTGATCTTTAGGACCCATATATCCTGCTGCCTTTTCAACTGTGGCCATCTAAAATTTTTGTAGGCACCTCTGATGAAATTTATCAGACTGAATTTATCATCTCTTCCAAAAAGTTTTTACTTCAAACATCTGCACTCTCAGCAAGGAGTACTAGTGCCTTGGAGTACTAGTACTAGGAGTACTAGTACTAGGTATTCACAGCACATAGAAGGTATCATTGGTATCACATGCCTTTACCCCACCCCACCCCACAGCTATAATGAATTGAAACTAAAGATTAATTGATAAGCCCTTCCCCCTTCCTGTGGGCTGAACTCAATTAAAGCCCACAGAAGAAAAAACAAAACCCACAGAGGGCTTCCCTGCTGATCCAGTGCTTAAGAATCCATCTGCCAATATTGGGGACCTGGGTTCAATCCCTGATCCAGGGAAGATTCCACTTGCTGTGGAGCAGAGCAACTAAACCTATAGTTTAGTTTAGTCACTCAGTCGTGTCCGACTCTTCGTGACCCCATGGACTGTAGCCTACAAGGCTCCTCTGTCCATGGGATTTTCCAGGCAAGAGTACTGGAGTGGGTTGCCATTTCCTTCTCCA